TGTGCTTCTTCGTGCTGAGCAGAGTGCTGAGCAAGTTTAAGAAACTGTTACATTGAATATTTCTATTCTCTGGTCATGTCTTGCTCATGTCGAGCGAGTTGGTGTGAATGAGTGTCTCGGGTAGAGCAAGTAACAATGAGTACCATTGCTAATAGTGAGCTAGATTAAGATATTGTTATATTTCATATCTTTTAGTTCAATATCATATTTTGTTCATGATGAGCAAATTGGAATAAAGAAGTTGCTCATATTGTGTCGAATTATGAAATTTTTTAAATTTAGTTTTCACAATGGTTAACGTATGCTAATTAAGACTAACATAAAACAACTTCAAGGACAGGGGCGAAGATACCGGGGAGGTGTGGGGGGATGTGTCACCCCCAATCTAAAAAATAGTCGATTTCGTAGGGCAATCGAAGATTTCGCAGGGCGCCAAGAAGAGCTTTGTTGCCACGCACAAATGTCACCTCTGAAGTTCGTAAAGGGCCGTTTAGGAATTTTGAAATGGAAATATCATATTTGTTATGAACCTACCTTCCTGATATTGCATTTTAGAGAACGGAACAGGCATGTAAGGAAAAGCTCCGTTATTTGCAAAGCGAAAGCATGTCTTACCGAAAGTCATAGCCAATGGATGCAATGATTGATGCATATGTTTATGAGGGCAAGGTTGAGTCCATATAAATTAATTTAAGTTGTAAATTATTTTCATGACAGGCACGGCGTCACTGGGGGGAATAGGAGGCTGAAGCCCCTCATTTTGGTCAAGATAAGAACTTTTTTATCATTTTTTCTATTAATTTTTAACAGTGCATGAAATAAAAAGAGAGTAAACTGTTAAGATGCCGATTTTGTGATCTAAATACTAACTTTTTCACGTATATTTTTCTTTTTTTTCTTTTATTTGCATTAATTCAGTAAATCACTTTCTGTATCATTGCAATGTTTTAATTTTGGATGGCCTTCTCGATACAAGAAACTGCACATTTCTGTTCAGGAAATAAAATTCCCCCAATCAAAACAACATCTTCCTCTGTCATTCACAACTATGTGCAGTCTGAAACGAAAGGTTACCGTTTCTTTCTTTCCACAACGTCTATCACTAGAGTTTTAGCATGACATGCCCCTCCCTATTTTTCCCAATAAACAATAATCAGTTTTTTAGCAAAATAGTATTTTGCTAAATTTCAGTCTGAAAGATGCTTTTTAGCCCTATTACAAGGTATAATTTCAAAAATTTTCTTCACGTCGGACCCAACCATGGTGGGTCCTCCTGTATCACTAAACGTGACTCTTAGTCCCCCCGGGCTCAATTTCGTTGCTTCGCCCATACACTGCACCAAAAAAACATATGCCACGAGATAGAAGCTTTATTATCAAAGAAAATCAAATTTGACATATAATTTACGCACACGTAGAGAAATAGATATTTCATAGGCAATGAAGTTTCAAGTTTGTTTTTATTGCTTAGAAGTTTTTCCTTGGTAAAGACCAGTGTACACTGGTGAAGCTTTCACTAGTAACCTATAGAGTATAGACAAACCTTTGCTACGAGGTTTGCAGGGCACCACTCAGTTTTGCAGGGCAGAAACCCTTTTCACCCCCCCCCCCAAACCTACTGGTCAAGTTACGCCCCTGTTCAAGGATTGCATAAGACAGATTTTTTACTGCCGAAAAAATACACTTGTTTTGAGGTAACAAAGTTTTAAACGAATTTTTTTAATTGCCTATCAGTTTGAGCTCATTTTATTGGTTCTTGGGGTAAATTTTTTGTCAATAGGACCAAGGTTGTTAGGTGTTTTAAACAAGTTAAGTGCTAGCATTCAAACTGATTGGTTATGAAAAATAGTTCTTTCGAGCATACCTAATTTTAAGGAATTTTTATCACTGCACATTTTACAAGAAATCAAGGGTGGCTGTAGGAAATAAGAAGTAATTTGTGGAAGCTCCTGAAATTTTGCCACTTCCGAGGCCTTAAAATGGCTTAGGATCCTGCAAATTCAATATGGGTTATTTTGAGACATTTTGCCAGTAGTATGAAAAATAACGTTAGCATTACTAGTAAACAGGAATACCACAAAAGAAAAGTCAAGTAAACTGAGCTGTTGCGTTTCACAGTGCATTCCGTGATCTGGTAACAGTGTCTCATTATAGATACGCAAATCAACGCAAATATAGTCTATAGACTTTCACAAACAAACGTATATACTAGGTTGAGGTCAATCTTCGCATTCAAGCAGTAATAATTTTTTTGAACAATAACGCAACGCTGTTTAATGTTAAACAAATTTAACGTCTTCAAAACTTTCTCTTCAACTCTTTTTCCTTAACCTCTCCGTTTTCTTTATCATCGTTCGCAAAAACTTTGCTAAAACACTCTTGCTTTCCTGCTTTTGTGCTTTCTCTTGCCCGACGATCTTTTTCCTCCATCCACCTCAATGCTGGCCTAGGATCAAAGTCACATAGTTGTGGCATAATCATATGTATGTAAAGGTAATCGCTGACGGTTTGGCGCTTGAAAGATGATCTGCATGTTGATTTGATCTTGTTATAAAGAGAAATGACCCGCTCACAATCAGCTGAATGGGGTTTGCATGCAAGAATGCGGCCAAGGAAGACACAGACATCTGAATACTCGTCCCTTGCTCCTTGTAGCATATTCTGCAGCATGCTGAAGGGATCGGCCTTTTGCATTTCGGCACAATCTTGCAGATCCTGATACTGAATGGCTACATTTGCCAAATCCAAGTCAGGAGCAATAGAGCGGTGAACTTCTTTTATTTCATCTTCTGTGGCCATGATCTTAACAAACGGGGTAAATGATTTGGAAGCATTTCTGTCCACTTGAAGTCGCTTGTCTACGAATGTGTTGATTGCTATCACTGATTCGTTCCGTATAGCACTAAACTTTCTGCGATCTGTTACAAACAGATTGGCATCTTGTCGGCGTCTTTCCTTCTCCCAATGCTTGATCCCGCAAAACTTATTGGCTTCTTCATCATACCTTTCTTTGAATTCATTTTCCCAACCTCCCAGCAAGGATCCAGTGCTCAGCTTGTTCACCCTTTCGCGAAACTTCTCTGCCACTGGCTCAATGTCCACAATTGTTAGTCAGTCGCTTTGAAGCTTCTTTTGGAACACTTTGATTAAGAAAAGCAGGTCTGCAACAAAACACATCAAAAGAAGGTTGTCCTTGTTGGTAAGAAGCTTCAGAAACTTTTCGCCTTCAGCATCGCATTGCTCTACGTTGAACTTTTTGAGTGCTTGCCACGAGCACAGAATAGCATCAAGAAGAGCAGCTGTAAATTCTGTCCATCTGACCTCAAAATACTTTGGGAAACGACGCACTGTTAGCCCTTCCACTTTTGCAACTTTTTCCAGCTCACTGGTTCATTTTGCTGAAACGTGAAAATAGATGAAATTGCTGCTAATTTCTTAACCAAGTGATCAATTTCTGGGACATTGTTACATAAGTCTTTGTATGCATTTGCAGTTGAATGCACTGCACAAACAGACTTTAGGAGGGGAGTGTCGATGTCTAATTTCCATCGGTCGTCATCCAGAAGCTTCCAGAGACCACGATGCTCTCCAACATTCTTATTTTCTCCGTCAGTCGCTTGGGTTATCACTTTCATTACTTCGTCGAAGCCAACAGTATCGTCTGCTCCCAATTTCAATGCTGCGAGATGCCCAGAGGCACCAGGATC